ATTCTTGCCTATGTCCATGCAAATATGTTCTATCAGTTAGAGGTGGAGGGTTCCTGACTCCTAAGGGGAAAAGCCAGTTTTATAGCCCTTTACAAATTCATTTCTGTAATCCTATTTTTTTGCCTTCCCCTTGAACTGGTTGTAGTATCTTCTCTGAGTCTCTCATTTAATGAAAGTGTTAATTAAAATTTCAGTGTGTTCATTTTATTTTTTCAGTTTCATTGAGATACAATTGATAAAATCATAGGATATTAAAAGTACTACACAGCGCAACAGAGATGTATTCATTTCATAGCTGCATGAAAGTCATGATTTTCTCTCTTTTGTAAGTTACCTTTGTAAAGCAGTAGTCAGGGTTCTGGGGCAGGAAATGGTAGCGCACTCAAAGGGGAAACTGAAGAGTGTTTTCAGGGACTATTTATAGAGGTGTGGGCAGAGTAGCGATGGAGGTAGTGAAGCACCCCAATCAACAGGAGAGGGAAACTGGGCCACCTCTAGGGCTCCCTGGGCACAGGAAGGGAGCTGTGCCATACTTAAAAGGGATACAAGTCATGGCCCAGCAGGAAGGAGCAGGAGAATGAATGATCACTTTTCTCTCCTCTTGTCCTCTGAGCCCCATGAAGCCACAGGATAAAGGACACAGGGTGGCATAGTTCAGCTTTTTTCCTATTGCTTTCTCCATGATTTTCAGTCAAATCAACCCAGCAATAATCACAAAATCTCTGTGAATTTAGAGAATCCAGCCCAAGTCTGCTATAAAGAATTTTTTTAGAGAGCCTTAAATTACAATTATACTTCATATGTACATGCTGCTGCTGCTAAGTCGCTTCAGTCGTGTCCAACTCTGTGTGACCCCATAGATGGCAGCCTACCAGGCTCCTCCATCCCTGGGATTCTCCAGGCAAGAACACTGGAGTGGGTTGCCATTTCCTTCTCCATTACCTTGTCCATTATGTACATAGTTAAATAATATAGCCCTTTGGTAAAAATTCATGAAAGACATACCACCCTTTGATCACTTTCTACCTTTGAATACATATCTTATGTATTCATATCACTTCATTCATATCACTCATATCGCTTCCTCTAGAATATTTTTACCATAGTCTTAATAACCATCAAGTTAACAGATACCTGAAAAATCTAACATTCTTTCCAGTTTCTGGATCCTCAGCCTTTGACCAAGAAGTGAAAAGCTGATGCAATTTTGCATCTGTTTTTATATACTCATTCTCTATAAGTTGGGTGGAAGCTTGGTGAATATATTCTGTAGAAAAGAAAACTTGGATTGGTTTCTGGGTGAACGAACCTTGACATAATAAATCCAAACTTTCTGCCTGGCTTTTGTGCTTTCACACAAGTTAATGTTCAGTTGAGCACCTCAACATGCTCGGGTGGAAAGCAGCAGAGTTGCAAATCTTTGCTGAGGAAGCCGATTATAGTGTGTATGATAGTGTGAGGAGAATTCAGAACTCAGGGAGTAATCTGGAAGGAAGGGGAGAAGGAGAAATGCCACATGACTGGAGGCTTCAGCAGAGCTGCGGAACAGTTGAGGACTATTTTAAGGATGGCTAATGTTCAGTTGTAAACTTTTACCAAACCTTTGGTAAAGTTGGCTTCATGAAAAATGTATGTGAGTGCTTCTGATTAAACCCTAATAAGGAAATATTTTTTTTAAAAAAACAGTAGTAATGGTTAAAAAAAAGATGGAATCTGAGTGTTTAGTATATCTTGGGCATTGTGCTAACACAGATGGCTACACTATCTATTCACAGTCACCCCCAATGAGACAGCCAGTATCCCCCCTTTTTGGGGAAGGAGGCTGATGCTCAGAGAGGTAGTTCACTCGAGGTCACATAACCAGTACATTGTGGGGAGCCAGCCTGACTGCTCAGGCTCCTTCTTGGCTCTGAGAGAGATCAAGAGGTCCCTCTCTGTCCCGCCACCCCTGATTTATTAAAGCACAGGTTGGCCTTTCTCACCTCCCTCAAGGAAATTGCTGTAGCGATCTTTCACCTGTTTTCCTGGTGCTGATAAACTCGTCATGATTGAAGCCTGTTATCTATCTAGTTAATGTTCTATTGATCTTAATCATGTTGGGCGCTAGGGTGATGCTTTACTGATCTTAAGTGGAGGAATTTAAAACATCTGTGCCTGTAGCTCTGCACATATGCAAACCTTTAATCTATTAGTAACTCCTGTTAGCATATATATAGGTGTGGTATTCTTCAATAAAGTTGGCAGAGTCAGACGCAAGCTGACTCTGTCCCTCTCAACCCCATCTTTCTAAGTCTTTCTGAGTCTTATTTTTCTTAGGTACTCTGGTAATTGCATTCTCGACCAGTTCGTTTGCCGGCAGGCTCCGGCAGTACATGAAAGAGGATCTGACACCAGAATCCAGGCTGTGTTCATAGCACCACACTGCTTTGCAATCATCCTCCCCACAGCCTCCTTAAAAAGCTGTCCTTTAGTCTCTGTCATTGACAAGAACCCCCTCCTCCTCTAAGGTCGCCCATTTCACAGTCAAAGGGCTGTAACCAAAGTTTTTCCACATGTGGGTGAGATTTGTCTCCCTACAGTTTCTATCCCTAAGTCTTCCATCTGCTGTTTGGGTCACTCAGAGCAAACATAATCCTTATTTTATGGAGCAGGCTGTCTAATATTTGAAGATATGTGTGAAACTTCGACGATGGTGGACTTTACATAATGTGCTTTCAACAAATATTCATAGAGTAGATGAAGGAAGGCCACATTTGGAGGGTACAGAGTATGGCTGCTAGGACAGCAAATATATAAACAAGATTTGATTACTTTCTCTGCTGCTGCTGCTGCTGAGTCACTTCAGTCATGTCCGACTCTATGCGACCCCACAGACGGCAGCCCACCAGGCTCCCCTGTCCCTGGGATTCTCCAGGCAAGAACACTGGAGTGGGTTGCCATTTCCTTCTCCAATGCATGAAAGTGAAAAGTGAAAGTGAAGTTGCTCAGTCATGTCTGACTCTTAGCGACCCCATGGACTGCAGCCTACCAGGTTTCTCTTTCCATGGGATTTTCCATGCAAGAGTACTGGAGTGGGGTGCCATTGCCTTCTCCGACTTTTTCTACCTATCTCATAGTCTTATGTACATACTGCTTCCTCTAAGAAATTTTTACCAAAATGGTAACAACAACCAGGTTAACAGGTATCTGAAAGAATTCTTAGATGCACCACTTTTGGAAAATATGTTTACGTGCTGCTTCTACCCGAACCCTTTACTACCTACACCTGTAAAGGTGGTCAGTGTTCTCCGTCAAGCCAAACCTGTGGGACTAATGAAACTGAGGGCAGTCATCAATTTGATCCCTTAAACTATAACTTTTGCTTAATCAGCAGTATCAGTAACTTCACAGATCAAACTTGCTTTAACTGTTCCTGCACACTGCATGCCCTTTGTCAGGCAGCTTAGACAATCTTATGACTCCTTTAGCTGCCCTCTAGAGGCAGTACATCTGATGGATGGGTCACTATAGTAATGGTTTCAAAAGTTGTTTTTCAGGAACATGGTGCTAGTCTTGCCCAGTTCAGATCAGCTGAAACCACCAACCATTCAGCTGGGCCTGCTAGAGTGCTGGATGGAGAACCTCTTGACATCAGAAGGCCAAACACTCCACCCTCAGATGATACCACCCTGCCATTTTCTTCACCTTTTTCTTCTCCATTCACCTTTCCCCAGGCCTCAGGTCACCCAAAATCTTTGTCCCCAAGCTCTTAGCCTTAGGGAAGGTGAATTTAAGATTTGGTCTCCCTTCTCCTCTCTTGGCTGTCTCTTGACTAATAAACCTTTCCCCTGCAAACCTTGGCATCTCAGAGTGTGGCGTGCTGCACATTGGGCAAATGAATGTAGTTTAGTAACACTAATACACCCTAAAAAGACATTCATCTCATTCTTTACACATATACTTTTATACAACCCAAGACCAGACCATATGGAGAATAGAATTGTTATTCTAGACCAATAACTGCTGTAAATATTAATGTATATACATACACACATATATATAAAATCTTAAATTGTATAATATATAAAATTTATAAAATTAAACTACATACCCAAGGAAAAGTAATTTTGTTGGCATCTAAGACATAACAAACCACTGGGATTAGATATATGGAGAAGAAGCAGTGACAAGAAGGGACGGTAGTGATTTTCACGGTAGACAGCCTTTGTAGCTCTGAGGGATTAAATCGAAATTTAAAATTCTCTAGTCTTATATTCACTATTTGGGAACTGCAAAGGTTGGAGCAATCAACTGTGACGCTAAGACAGTTAAAGAGAAGGGCAGTTGGAGTTGTGGGAGCCTTTATATACACTGCTGCCCAGGCCGAGAATGCCAGTAGATAAAAGCTTCAAGTTGAGCCTCCAATTCTCTTCTCTTGGGATGGGAGTCGTTGCACTATTATTTAGGGCCACATTCTATAGTGATCACCATGTGTACTTACGTACCACTGTTTGGCAAAGGCCTGCTCCGAAAATTTTGGGGGTCTCATTTTGCTCCTCTGTAAAATATGGGCTTGTTTTTTGGAGCGTTTCTGGAACATGCTCTAAGCAAGACACTGTGGTGCCTGGGAGCGGATGTCGATCCTGTGCTAGAGCTTTTCGGCGGAGGACAGGAAACTTGAGGAAGCAGGAAAGTGGGATTTGTTTCCAAAGGGCTTGTGACCCGGCGCGCCACACCACGAGAAGCTCGTAGCTGCCCGCCCTCCACGCGAAAGCCTGCCCTCCTGCTCGGGCCCCGCCCCGCGGCGCGGGGGGCGGGACTTTGACTCGGGGGCGGCCCGCACGCGATCCCCGCCTCTCTCTCCGCCTCCTTCCCCTCCCCGGGCTCCGCCCAGCGGGCTCCGGCAAGGGGGGCGGTGGCCGCGGCGGTGACAGCCGCTCCCCGCCCCCGAGGCCGCCACGTCCCTCACGTACCACCCGGCCGAGCGGCGGAGCGGCGACCTGGCGCCCGGGGCTTCGGCCGAGCGGCGGAGCGGCGACCTGACGCCCGGGGCTCCGGCTGCTCCGGCGCGGCTCGGCATGAGGCTAGCGCGGCTGCTTCGCGGAGCCACCTCGGCCGGCCCGGGCTCCGGGCTGCGCGCCGCCGGCCCTAGCGTCAGCCGCAGCCTCACCTCGGACTCGGGCTCCGGCCCGGCGCCCGAACGCGGCATTCCCGGCCAAGTGGACTTCTATGCGCGCTTCTCGCCATCCCCGCTCTCCATGAAGCAGTTCCTGGACTTCGGTGAGTGGGGCCCGGGCTTTGGGCCTTCTTGCGCAACCCCAGCGGGGAGCTGCGGCCGCTAACCCGGGCCGGGCCCGGCCCGCGCGGATGCCCTCCCGTCTTCGGCGCGCCCCCTTCCTCAACGTCTCTCCTCCGGGGCTTCGGACGCCTCCTCCGTCCCTCGCGGACGGATCCCTCTGCTCAGGTGCAGGCGTCCGCGCCCTCGAGAGATAACTGGGAGAGTGTGCCTTTTCCCCGTGTATTGTTGAAAAACAAGCCTGGGGCCCGAGCCGCTTTTCAGCGCACGTGTGCACCTCCGCGCTCGCAGCCAGGCCCTTTCGGAAGAGCCCAGCCCGAGTGAGAGGCGAGTGTGCTGACACCTCCGGGAGTCGAGTTCAGATTCTGCAGAGTGCAGATAAATGCTCTGTTTTGCATATGATGATTACATAAAAGTGGTGTGCTGATAGGGAAAGCAGGTCCTGACTGGCCCGGTGTTTCATAGAATGTTTTCCTTGCCACTGGCTTAAGTGTTTCCACCAACCGTACAATTCATTCCGTCAACAACAGTCCTCAGCACGTGTAAAGTGCATGGGTACAGTATGCTGTGGGGTTTGTTTACCAAAGTGACTTTCCACTTTCCTCTTTCTCAGATGAGTGCTTCCTGGTTTTCTCTAGAAAAGATGCAAAGGAATTGCGAAGTCAGGCATTTAACTTTGACTTATAGCGGGGCGCTAAGGTGAATGGGAAAACTAATCAAGTCAAAATTTCGAAGAGACAAGAGTTATCTTCTGCATTGTGAGTGTGGTTTGGTCACCAACGGATCACAAGTGGCTTGAAAGATAGCAGGGTAGTTAGCCACTTAAACTTGTGGTTGTTACAGTGTCGATTTTGTTTGGCTCAAAGCTCTTGGTTTTTGTTTTTACCTTAAAATGACTAGTGTTATTAAGAGGGTGAATTTGACCTCTTTCCGAAGTATGCCATTAAACTTCCACAAGAAAATGTTTTCTTTTAACACGATTATTCCTATTGACAATCTAGTTTTTGCTATGCTTGTCTCTTGCTAAAAGAGCAAATCTGAGTTTAAAATTCATCACTGAAGTAACATGACTTTTTAGTTTACTTTTAAGTGGAACCGCTTACCAAACGCGATTCTACAGCTGTTCTGCTTAGCATCTTGAGTAGGAATGGAGGAAGGAGCAGATTGCTTTCCAGGAATCAGACAATTGAATAGAACCTACTGGGGGAGAAGCTTGAAGATGATCACAGAGCAGGCATTGGCAGCTTTTGCTTTCTGTTGTCCGGAAGACTCCTCTTCATTTACTCTTCGCTTATGGCAATTAGTATAGTGGTTCTACCTGGACTCAATGAATCTTCTCATGAACATGTCAAAACTTCCACTGTTTCTTAGACAGGTTTTTCTCATAAACCTAGAGTTGGAAACAAGTTTTTAAAATGATAGCAGCAACAGGTTATATAGGATAGGCTTTTTACAGGTCCTACGTTAATCAGACTGCCTTGCCCTAGGTTGCCTTAGTTCTAAGATGGGAGTTGTGAATAACGGAGACAGGAAAATAACCTCACTGATTCTCTACAGTGTGGATGGAAGGTGGTTCAGGATGTCACACAGCCCTAGAGACTGGACTGTCTTGTCCCATGCTCCTCTTCTTGCCTTGTCATTATGGTGATGCTATCACTTGTCAAATAACTCTGTCTGCGTTTCTCTCTGCCTTGTGGCTTCCACTTACTGCTGTTCACACTGTATTTGGTTTCAGGATCTGTGAATGCTTGTGAAAAGACCTCATTTATGTTTCTGCGGCAAGAGCTGCCTGTGAGATTGGCAAATATAATGAAAGAAATAAGTCTTCTTCCAGATAATCTTCTCAGGACACCATCAGTTCAGTTGGTACAGAGCTGGTAAGATTCACTGTTCTTGCGTTTGCAGTTTGAGTGGAGTTGTAGACTTTACCCAAAGTTAAAGCAAATACTTCTTTACTGTTCAATGGTGTCTCAAGGTAGTAGCAGCATTCCTCTCCTCTGTTTGGGTGTGTCTGGCCCGGTCACCTGAATCCTGGACTGTACTACTTTTTGGTTTTAAAAAAAAGATCAGAAATGCACAGAAATACAGACACTATACTTGAGATTTGTGTTGTTAAATCTCCAAGGATGTTATTTCATAATGTATTAAAAATATCTACCATAAGTTGATGGCTAGAGATTTACATACTTTACCTTTAATCCCTTCAATAACCCTGCCCAGTAGGCATCCATTTTACAGATGAAGAAATGGACGTACCTACAGATTAAGTCCTTTGCCTAAGGCAAAAACATTCATAGTAGAGCTGGGATTCAAACTCAGATTTGCTTGTTTCTACTGCTGTATGCTGAAGTCAGATAATAAAATGCCTTAAAGGGTGTAAATATTTTTATAAACTGAATTTATTGTATTGAAGTATATCTTAATAAATCACAAAAGTTAAAATATTTATTCTACCATTTAAAAACAATTAGAACTTACTAGAATTGTGTAGAAACTATGATCTCCCTTCTAAAAAATGACAGTAGAATTATTAAGGGTGTGCATGCATATGTGGCCACCTGTATACAGCCTTTCTTGTTAATGTTATTAAAAGTGTTATTCTGTTAACCACTATACATTCCAAACAAAAGAGTTTGCCAGAGTTCAGTCTTAAATGGAAAAATTTAGTTGCAAGGCATTTCCCAATTATGATTTATGGAGATCCTAGCTTTCCTGTTGTAAGCATTATAATTATGGGAGAAGCTGATATAATGTCAACTTTTTAAAATAAGTGAAAGAAATATGACTACTCCATAATTGATAATCAGAGACTCTCCAGTCGAAAAATGGAATAGTTAGAAATGTGATTTAAGTAAGAGGCATTTGTTTAGGAACTCTGATGCAAGGAGAACAGATAATTTTCTATGGTGGTTTATTCCTTCTTTTTAAGAAAAAATCGTTAAAAGTAGAATATGTTACATTTTAAAAATATCTGTGCCTAACACATTGTAAATGTTGACAATTTAATGCCCAAAACTCTGCCTCTGTTCACTGGTGCTGAATTGAATCTTGAAGCCAGAGTTTCAGGTGAAGTAGAAAAGAATAGCTTTATTGCTTTGCCAGGCAAAGGAGGACACAGCAGGATCTTGCCCTGAAAAACTGTGTGTCCCAACCCGGGGATCTTTGGTGAGGAGTTTTATAGCAGTGGTTCAAGGGAGAGGTTGCTGATAATGATCAGGGTACATGCAGGGCCTACAGGCCTTTAATCTGGCCTCAGGTGGTCTCCTGATGTGCTTCTTGAGATTATCAAACCTTCTCTGGAATGAAAAATGCTAACATCTTTCTTTTGTTGGGCGTCTTAGTGCTATAAAAGAATTCAAAGATGTGTATCTCTTGAGGTGAGACCAGACCGACTCCCAAGTCTGCACTGTTGTTTCTTGGCTGCTTCTCCCTTGTCTCTGCATCCTTTCTTCCCTGATTAGCACCTGTTTGAACTTGCCCATTGGACCTCAAGGAAGATCATGGAGACTGGAGTCTGTTGCCTACAAATAGGAAATGGGGGCCAGGGAAAGGCTTCTGTGCCCAGGAGCCCCACAGGGTCCTGCTTGGTTTCAGTATCTTCTGAATAAAAGCATAATTGTTCTTGTCAGTGAAGAGTAAGGGTTAAGTCACAACAGTAGACTCAGAATCACTAGACTTTGGAATGCCTTGGCATGCAGTAGGGCATATTGTTTGTCAGAAACAACTTTCCAAACCAACATGGAGATTTGCAGGTTTTTAAAACACTTCATTGCCCCGGGACACCTACTAAAATGTGGCAGCTGAAGGTGCAGCCGAAGCAGACCTTACACGAGAGGCCATGGACCGATAGGTGTTTTGGCGCTGGCTCTTCGCTGCCGTCGTGCTCTGCAGCGTGACCGTCAGTCGTTTGACTTTCCTCATTTTGCTCCTTTACCGGGTCATTTGCTCCTTTGTATTTCTCAGTAAATTAAAAATGTGTATTTTCATGACTTTTGTGTTTTTGTTCAGTTGTTTAGAAGAACCACGTGTTAGATTGTAGACTTTTAATAAGCATTTGCCAACTGGATGTAACATCTACAATTACGGTTTTAAAACAAAGACATTTACATTAGATTCTTAGACCAAGGTAAGCTGGCCTCCACATTTTACTGAGACTAAGACAAGTTAAGTCATTTGCCCAAGATCACAGAATTGTTGGTGACAGACTCAGTTCCCATGACCATCAGTATATTTATACTGTAATGTACAGTGGTAATTTTAAGAATTTAAAAACTACTTAGAGAACTGAAAAAAGAGATAGATTCTTAAATCAAATTTAACCTAAGCTTTTAGGAGAGAATGTACCTTCTAATTACTGTCAGGCACTTTGCTTGAATGTGAATGGGTATACAAATCTCACTTCAATCATAATTTGCTAAAAATTAACTAACAGTAAAGTAATGTTTAAAATGTCACTTGATCATTTTCATAATATTGGACTTTCAAAATATAAAAGAACAACCTTACAAGGGGTTGATTTACATTTTAGGTATATCCAGAGTCTTCAAGAGCTTCTTGAGTTTAAGGACAAAAGTGCTGAAGATGCTAAAACTATTTATGAGTAAGTACAGATGTTTTGCCTTATTTGAACATCACATAAAACATCATCATATACTCTTTGAACATCATATAAAAATGTAAATTATTGCTGTTGGATCATTTTAGGGAAATTGATTAACTTTTGGCTTTTTGCTACTTTAGAACATATGATAGTATATGTGTCTGTCGCAGTCCATACAGGCCAGCCCGGTAACATAAATTCAGAAATTGGACTGGGCATAAGAAAAGCTTCATGTTTCTCTTCACTCTAGTGTAAAGAAAGATGCAGTTCAAACGTGGTGATCAGGGGAAATCTTGATGTGGTCTCAGGGCCACTTGGATGGTAGGAGACTGGTGAAGACTTGGAGACGAGTGCATGCTTCTGAAGGACAGCCCCTCAGCTCTACTGACGATTGCCGAGCAGAAACACTGCCCAGATCATGTGATGTGTGTGTGTGTCTTTCGGGGAGTGGGTATAAGATAAGCTGCAAGTCTAGTAATTTTTGTTTTTTTAAGTTAGATTTCCTAATTTTGAAAGATGGGAAACTAAACTTTCAACAAACACTGAAGGCCTGCAGGACAAAAACTTGTCTCTAGTTTATGACCTGTGGTCTGCAAGACAATGTAAGTAATGTGACCTATTAATAAACAACATACCAGGACTAATAAGCCCCATAGTCCCCTAAGGCAAGTTACCTGCTTATTCTAGTGAATGTTGCTCAGAACTTAAAGACTGTCTCTGTTGTTGTCCTCCAAGTCCATTACACTTTTTTTTTTTTACTGTCTTTAAAGGTGATAGCAACATTTCACTTTTTAAACATGATTTTGGTCTGAAAATAACACCAAGAATTTGTGTAGGTATGCAGCAAAATTTACACAGATGATGTCATTTACTCTTTAAAATGACTCTATTGAAGTAATACTATCTGTGCAAAAAGAGATACTATTTGTGCACAAAAAGTCTTAAATAGCATTAGGCTCACATGGACAGCAAATGGATTTAGACCCATTCAGTATTACTTAAAGGTAAATGTTATGCTGAAAAACCTTCTGAAAATAGTCATTCAGAGCTGAATTTTAAAATAATAATGTGGGCAGCCAGGCGGAATAATGCTATTTTGGTTTTGATAAAAGAGAGAGATTTGAAATAAATGATTAAGAAGTGACTAGAAATGATGAATTGTTTTTGAGGAGTTTTGTTGTTTGTATTTTGGATTAACAGTTTGGTTTTGAAACTAATTACAAACTAGGAATTCCAAAAATATTTTGAGCAATGAGACCATCATTGGAATAGGTTAATAGTAGTCAAGATGATGACTTTGAAGACTTTGAATGAGGAAGCAGTCATTTGGAAGTATGAGTTCTGATGGATATATTATTAGGTGGATTTTGTTACTTCACAACTAAGACTTGTTTCCTCTTTCATTTAGTTCTTTAAATTAGCCATGCAGTTCAGTTCACTTCAGTCGCTGGGCTATGTCCAACTCTTTGTGACCCCATGGACTGCAGCACACCAGGCTTCCCTGTCCATCACCAACTCCCAGAGCTTGCTCAAACTCATGTCCATTGAGTCAGCGATGCCATCCAACCATTCCATGGACTGCAGCACACCAGGCTTCCCTGTCCATCACCAACTCCCAGAGCTTGCTCAAACTCATGTCCATTGAGTCAGTGATGCCATCCAACCATTTTATCCTCTGTCGTCCCCTTCTCCTGCTGCCTTCAATCTTAACCAGCATCAGGGTCTTTTCCAGTGAGTTATTTCTTTGCATCAGGTGGCCAAAGTATTGGAGCTTCAGCTTTAGCATTAGTCCTTCCAAAGAATAGTCAGGACTGATTTCCTTTAGGATTGACTGGTTGGATCTCCTTGCAGTCCAAGGGACTCTCAAGAGTCTTCTCCAACACGACAGTTCAAAAGCGTCAATTCTTCAGTGCTCAGCTTTCTTTATGGTCCAACTCTCACATCCATACATGACTACTGGAAAAACCATAGTTTTGGCTAGACGGACGTCTGTTGGCAAAGCCATGCAGTAGTGTCTTCAAGCAGCAGTGTCTTCAAATGACAGAAATAGAAGTGCTGGATGATTTGAAGATTTTTCTTTGAACACACAGTCACTTTTTCTTCTCCCATTTTTTTTTAAACTCATAGAATGAATGGAATTAGAATTCCTTTCTTCTTTTCTAAGTGGCCCTTTCTCTTTTGAACCTGGGGAATGGTTCCAAAACAGACAGCCTTTATTGGCTCATTCATTGTCATTCCTTACAGAGCACGTGTTCCCTGGAAGCAAGTGCTCTGTCTTCTCTTATGCTCACTGTGCCTGGATCCCATCCTCTTAGCAGGTGTTGAAATAATATTAGTTGATGATGGTTAAAGAAAACCCTTCACATTTGGTAGGATTGTGTTTTGCGGCAGCCTTGCTTTTAGGAGTTCCAAGAAAATAATTACATTTCACAAGTTTTATTTATTTTGGAGTTTCTTAACATCTCCATAGAGATGGTATATTTTATGATCTGAAATTTACTTAAATAAGTGTAAGAAAACATGCCTTGATGCTGCTTTTACTGAATTAGGCATTTCTTGTCTAGTATAATTGGCTAAATTTAGATTTTAGTATCAGATTCACTTGCCAAAATATTTGGCTGTTTTGACAGACAGGTTTGTTTAGCTTTACAGACACTGTGATACGGATCAGGAACCGACACAATGACGTGATACCCACAATGGCTGAAGGTGTGGTTGAATACAAGGAGAGCTTCGGGGTGGATCCTGTCACCAGCCAGAATGTTCAGTATTTTTTGGATCGTTTCTACATGAGTCGAATTTCAATTAGAATGTTACTTAATCAGCACTGTAAGTGTCTGGAGGTCACGAGAAGAAGCTAAATAATCTGTGTTGATATATTTTACATTTATTTAGAAAACTTCCTTTTAGGGAGAACATTTAATTTTACTTTTTTTTTTTTTATTAAGGAAAGCAAATAGACTGCCATTGAAAGGTTTTTAAATTTATGTTTAATGTTATGTGACATGTTTTATGTTTTAAGGAAAATACTTGTTCTACTGTTTGGTACCAATTAGAGAAACAGTAGTCAAATCCAGACAGTGACATTATGTATTTTAGCTTATTTTATTTGTTTTTTAATTTTTTATAGCTTTATTATTTGGTGGAAAAGGCAAAGGAAGCTTATCTCATCGCAAACACGTTGGAAGTATAAATCCAAACTGCAATGTGGTTGAAGTTATTAAAGGTAAATACATTTCTCCTTTCAGAAAGAATGCCAAAATCAAAATTGTTGAGTGTTTTTTCTTGCTATTAAAACAGTTATTTGAATCATGAGATAAAATGATATAACCCATGCATGGGTTTAAAAATGACTTTATAATGCTAATTGTGCACTGTGTATAGGATGAATGTTTTGTTGATACCATGCTTTATTAGGCAAAAAGTGGTGATATTATGAGGGTATCTATTTGACTTCAAAATATTTCCTTATTCCCTCCTAATTCCCTATATTGAAGCCATAATTCATAATAGTTTGGCTTGTATCTTGCCATAGCTTTTTCTGTTTGTACCATGTATGCTTGTGCACACACATAATTGTTGGTCTTACATTGCTGTTTCTGGAACATAAGATACTTTGTGTATGTTTTTCTGTAAATTTACAAACATTGTGCCATGTGTAGTACATGTGGATATACACCAGGGTTTTTTTTTTTTTTTTTCCCAAATATGAGCTTTTATTTATTTTTTTTTCTCTCTCTTTTTTTTTCCCTTCCATTTATCTTTATTAGTTGGAGGCTAGTTACTTTACATCATTGCAGTGGTTTTTGTCATACATTGAAATGAATTAGCCATGGATTTACATGTATTCCCCATCCCGGTCCCCCCTCCCACTTCCCTCTCCACCCGATCCCTCTGGGTCTTCCCAGTGCACCAGGCCCGAGCACTTGTCTCATGCACCCAACTTGGTCTGTACACCAGGTTTTTGAATGACTGTTAGGGATGTATCAGAATGTATTAATCCATACTCCTATTGATGCATATTTCTGTTGTTTCTATCACCAACAGTATTGCAATAGACATCCTTATATATGTGCTGACTTTTGCTAGTATTTTAGAAGGCAGGATTTCTAGAATTAAAAATATTTAAAATGCATTTAAAATTTTATAACTCCAAAAATGTATCAAACAATGAATGAGAGTGAGTATTCCCTAAACCCTTACCAACTCTAAATTTTTGTTACATGTATTGTAAATATTTTCTTCAATCTGCTGGTTTTCTTTTTACTTTGTTATGGTGTCTTTTCCCATACAGATATTTGAAAATTTTTTTGTAATCATATCTGTCACTTTTCGCTTTATATGGCCTTAGGTTTTGTCATGTCATATTTTAAAAAGACCTTCCCCAAACTAAGATTATTAAAGTATATTTTTTTCTGTAGAAAGCTTTAAAATTTCATTTGTCTATATATTATTGCCATCTTCATGAAGCAGAAGTAAATTTATTTAATGACTTTTTTGTTTTGATTCGCACTAGATGGCTATGAAAATGCTAGGCGTCTGTGTGATTTGTATTATATTAACTCTCCCGAACTAGAACTTGAAGAACTAAATGGTAAGCCTGATGCCTTTTCCTTAATGATTAGTGTTATGACTACCTGAGAGGAATGATAAGAAGTTAAATTTGTTTTAATATAAAACAACTTCTTTACTGGATATGAAAGCTGAGGGAGAGAAATCATGTTAAAAATATATGTATTTATGTGTTTGTACGTATATATGTATATTTTTTAATTTAGTTGGATTTTTTCTGAAAGACATTTTGCCTTTTTCTTTCCCATTTTCATTATTTTAATTGATAATATTGATTCTTTGCTTATTTTTTATTTCCTGGTTAGTCTCAGAAAAAAGTGATCCTTCTCTGGTGGCTCAGACGGTAAAGAATCTGCCTGCAATGCAGGAGACCCGGGTTTGATCCCTGGGTCAGGAAGACCCCTTGGAGAAGGGAATGGCTACCCACTCCAGTAGTCTTGCCTGGAGAATTCCTTGGACAGAGGAGCCTGAGCCTGGTGGGCTATAGTCCACGGGGTCGCAAAGAGTCAGACACGACTGAGCGACTAATGCTTTCAAGAAAATTACATCTGACTTTTATATGTACTTCACTAATGTAAGGTTTACCCTTTAAGATTTCTACTTCCTGAGTTGTAAACCAACTTTTTATTGTCGAGGAACTAAAAAGACTGGAGATGTAAAAGAAGAAAGAAAGATGTCCATCTGTTTGAGACTCTGATTATCTCTGATGGTCTTCTTTTGGACACAGAAGGTTTAGATGCCTTGGAAGGAGATTGATGAGTTGTCTCTGTTTTCCCTGGAGGTAGGGTAGTTTGATAGAGGGAGACAGTACCTCAGTTAAAATGACCCTGTAAGAAGAATAAAATTAAATAGGCTTCTGCTGAGTTGTATTCTGGACCTTAGAGTGGGAAGGCAGTGGAAGAAGTTGCCCCCTTCAAAATAGAGTTGCCTGGTTTTTCTAAAGCCATAATAGTACATTCAGTGAATAAGAACCACAAGGCACAAGTGATAGTTTGGGAACCTGGATTGCTGTGGGCAGTTTCCAGATGTACCATCTGTGTTTCTGAGAGCCAGTTCATTCATTGGAGAGTCCAGCTTATTGGCTGAATGAGAATTCTGAGGTATGGCGACTCTTACGCCTTCACTGAAAGTTCTGGTTTGGTTGTTATCTGTTCTCTACCCCCAACTGGGCTCCTGTTAAACATGTTTGAATGTAGAATTAGTGGCCCTTGATAAGTCAATGCTAGCTCAAAGTTTTTATTTGAATCTACATGCACAGAAATCCCCAAAATAAAACATCCCACCTGGGTGAAACAATTTAAAAATGGCTTTTTAAAGAAAGAATGTATTTATGTGAGTTGGACCATGGAATTTAAAGACTTTAAACACTTAAATTTAAAGAATTTAAACACTTCTTTTTGGAAGGAAAAAATTCTGACCATAAGATTGAGTGTCTTAGACTCAACCATCATAAACAAGAATGGGAAGGTGGGTTGGTAGCTGGTTATGCAGGATTGCAAGAGTGACTTCAGGACTCATGTTGTCACAGGCAGGTATAAATTGTGTGAACCTGGCATTCAAACACAGATACAGTAAAGAGCTGGTGTAGCCCTTTTCCCCCCAGTAGTACTGTCCTCCATAGTAAATGTTTTCTTTTCAGCACTACACAATACAGTCTTTAAAATGCTTTAAGCACATCTCTCTGTACTTTCATATTTTTCTCTTCTGCTCTGTAGCAAAATCACCAGGACAGCCAATACAAGTGGTTTATGTACCATCCCATCTCTATCACATGGTGTTTGAACTTTTCAAGGTTTGTAACATAGTATTACATCACCTTTATCAGTCCTTTCCTAAGGTTAGGAACCTGCTTTGAAAGTTTAAATACTCTACCAGGTTTTCCTCAGTTTCATTAAAAGATGCCGTTGGTGTTCAGCGTCATGGCACATCAGTGGAGATAAGCTGTTGATCAACACTGATGCCCTCAGTGTAGTGGTAAGTTCAGACCTGGGACTCAGAAAGACCTGGATTTGAATTCCAATTCAGCCACCTAAAATGTGTGTGACCTTGTGGAAGTACCTCAACCCCAAGCCTCAGTTTCCTCCTCTGTCAAGCAAGGATAATACTATTATCCAGGTTGTTAGGAGGATTGAGAATAACATCCTAAATATCTTATACAGTGGAAGCACGTTATAGGTGTTTGATACAATTTTACTTGTATTTTTACAAAGAAAAATGCTTAGCATGATTCTCCACCCCTAACGGACCACAGTCCTACTATCTTATGCATTGTTGTATGCATTTTTTTGGAGAAAGTCACTTACATTGACTTACATGACTTCTGCTGTTATATTTGCTCTTTACAACACATTTTGAAAACCAAATACAATTATGCTCATAATGTTGAGAGTACATTTTTTCTCATCAGCATACCAAAGACAATTGCTGGTAGACAAGAAAGTGGGTGATGAGGAGTACAGGTCCATGAGGCTGAAAATATTACCCCACATCAAGCCTGTAGTCTCTCTCAGTGTGATTACCATGTCTTCAGCCAGGAGCAGGTGGAAGAGAGAAGAGGTGGCTTTCAGCCTGATCCTGAAAAAAGAAAAATACACTGAAACATAGAAAAACTGGCTGACTGTCTTAGAATAGCAAAGATTGAAAAATGTTCTTGGTTCTAAGACAGCAAGAATGTATCTAATATCTTATAAAAACCTTTCTACCAAAGTGGTTACATGAATAAACGATTTGCACTGAAAGTATTAAAAGTAATTTTTTCCTTGAAATTTCAGTCACCTAAAGATTTTGTTCCCTATGATGCTTAGTAAAAGGAATACTACCATATTATGTAATAGATTTTATATTATGTCGGTAATAATGGCTTCCATCTGAAACCTGATCTTAAGTGGCCTTCGGTAGAGAGGACAGAATCTCTTCCTCGGGGGACTCTGTCCTGTTGGTGTTCCAAGGCTACACACTCCACGTGCAGCCCAGTCTGTTGCCTTTTAGACTGTATCTAGGCTTAGCAGTTCCTGCTTCAGTGCTACATGTCATGTGATTGCTTAGTGCTTATGCTCTGTTGGTGTTGTATACCCTGTATCCTTTAGGAATTGGTCAAAACTGTCTTACTGTGTAAATAAATATTCTAGTTTCCAATTAGTAGTAAATTAGATTCATTTCTACATCATAATAAGACCTGCTATTAGTACTAAATGAAAAAATTGCTTTTTCTTAAAGCAATTTATGACAATTAAAATGGTTCTTTAAAATAGAGATGAGACTGTTTTCAAAAATAAGGCTTGCCCATTATCTACCAAATTATAAAAATATTTGGGTAGAATTTTCTGCTTTCATATGAAGCTACTTAAAAATGTTGAGGTTCTGATTTTAGAAAATCAGATTTTTACCTACCAAGTCCTCTAAAATGACTTATTTTTTAGAAGTAGTTCTTTAAATTTAGTTATGAATTATGATTCTCAGGCATGTTTTCATTAAATTCTTTAAAAATATCAAGGAGTGCATATTTACTTGAAAATTGTACTTAGTTTCTCTCTTTCTTTAAAGTTGTATTTTTAACGTAACCCTTATGATTTTCAGAATGCAATGAGAGCAACGATGGAGCATCATGCTGACAAAGGTGTTTATCCGTCTATTCAGGTCCATGTCACACTGGGTAAAGAGGATTTGACTGTGAAGGTAAGTGCTGTTTTTTTAAATTTTTAAAAATTAATGTACGGACATGTACATGTTTTCCAGAAGACGTAATTTATTTCCAGAAGAAGAAATCCTGTTCCTAAGAGATAATAAGCGCATCGTTTCATTTATTTGGCAGGTTATGAAATTTCCCTTTGAGTCTGTTTCTGTTCTGACCCTTTATCCAGATGATTCAGGTTAAAGTAAACCCTGGAGGCAGACAGTTTTGCAAATTGATGTCTGTCCAGTTTGATACCTACTTTGATAAGTGAAATCTAAAATATTTGGGTATTTATAGTAATATTTAGATAGTACATAATTTCTCCTTTTTAAACAATGCTTTTAAATCTGCTTTTAAGTGTTTCATTTGATTTTCCTAACAGCTCTTCAGTAAGGGGCAAAGGTAATTTTATTCTCAATTTTACAGAAACTAGACACAGTGATTAGCTCATTATTAGATCTCGAATAAATGACACAGGACAGGATGTCAGTCCTGTGACCCCTGATAAGTTTCTGAGTCTTGTCCAACTCTTTGTGATGCCATGGACTCCTGTGTGCCAGGCGCCTTTGTCCCCATTATCTCACTGAGTTTGCTCAAATTTATGTTCATTGACCCTCGTCCCAGGCCTTTTCTACTACATTTTTCTTAGATAGCTCAGTTTCTTAGAGTATGATGATGTTTCTCTTTTTTAAAAAATCATTTTAAATTTTGTATTGAATTAATAAATGTAGAGAGATGAAAATGAAATATGTCAGTTCCTTGCCACTTGTAGGTCACCACTCAGAGACGGTCTTTTTCTTATTTCTCTTAGTATTGCTGTAGTTGAAAGACATTTTCTAATATTGCTGTTTATGAAATTAAAATTTTTTAAACAGTAAATATTGGCTTTTGGTTATGGTAGCTGAGGAGTTAGCTCTCTTAGAGCTTCTTCCCTCTCAGTTGCCTAGCCTCAGTTGCCATTTTCCCAGTATTTAAGTTCATACATGGAATTCCAGACTAGAAATAATCATCTTTCAAGGATTTTGAAGATATCTAGTGTTCTTTTTTTTTTTAAATATACAATTCGGTGGTTTTTAGTGTGTTCACAAGGTTGTGTAACCATACCACTGTTTAATTTCAGGACATTTTCCTCACTCCCAAGAAAAAACCAGTGCTCATTAACAGTCACTTCTCATTTCTCCCTCTCCCCACCCTTTGGCAACCACTAATCCATTTTCTGTGTACGGACTTCCCTATTTTGGACACTTCATAAAAATTCAGTCGTATAATATGTAGTCTTTTGTGACTGACTTCTTTCACTCAATATAATGTTATAGCATGTATTCATTCATTTTTTTGTTATTATAAATAATGCTGCCATTTGTGTACAAGTGAACATTGGTTTTCGGGTCTCTTATGTATATACCTAAAAGCTGAATTGTTTATAGGTAACTCTGTTTAACTTCTGAGGAATACCAAACTCATTTTAAAAGTGACTGTACCAATTTACATTTCCATCAGTAATGAATGAAGGTAGCAATTTTTCCACATCCTTACCAACATTTGTTATTGTCAATCTTTTTGATTGTAGCCATCCTATTAGATTATAGCCATTCCGATTCTAATATCTCATGGTACTTTTTTTTTTAAAGAAGTGTCCATTAAGATCCTTTGCTCAGTTTTTAAGTAGGTTACCTTTTTATTGTTGAATTGTAAGAGTTTTCTCCATTTGTTTATTTTCTATTGTTGATGCTAGTTCCTGATGAGATATATGATTTGCCAGTGTTCTCCCATTCCGTGGCTTACCTTTTCACTTTCTTGAGTGTTCTTTGAAACACAAAGGTTTTAATCTTGAAGAATTTTAATTATTCTGTTTTTTTCGTTTATTGCTTGTGCTTTTAGTGTCACATGTAGGAGGCCATTGCCTAATTCAAAAGTCACAATAATATATGCCTTTCTTTGTTTCTAAGAGCTTTAAAGTTTTAGTTCTTACATTTAGGTCTTTAATCCATCTTGAGTTAATTTTTGTAAATGATTTGAAGTAGGGACTCCAGTTTCACTCTTTTGCCTGTAGATAATCCCAGTACCATTTGTAAAAAGGCTACTTTTTCTCATTCGAATTTTCTTGTCATCATTGTCAAAATTCAATTGCTTATAAATATATAGGTTTATTTCTTGATTTTCAATTCTATCCCATTGGTCTGCGTATCTCTCCTTAGGAACATTTTGATTATTACTTCTTGGTTGTAAATTTTGAAATTGGCAAATGTGATTCCTCAAACTTTGTTGTTCTCTTTCAACGTTTTTTGACTATTGTGGGTTCCACGCATTTTCATAAGAATTTTAGTATCAGTGTTTCAGATTTTGCAAAAAAACGTTAGCTTGAGTTTTTAATGGGGATCAAGTTCAATGTTTAAATCAAGTAAGTCTTCCAGTTTGTGAACAACAGGATGTCTTTCCACTTATTTAAATCTCTTTTTTCAACAATGTTTTCTGATTTTTAGTGCACAAGTCTTATACTTCATCTATTAATTTTTTTTTTTTCGCTCTGTATAATGGGCTCCAGTTTCATCCATCTCATTAGAACTGATTCAAATGAATTCTTTTTAATGGCTGAGTAATATTCCATGGTGTATAAGAATAATTTTATTCTCAGATATTTCATTCTTTTGGGGGCTTTTTAAGTGGAATTGTTTTCTTAATTTTTGGATTATATATTGCCAGTATATAGGCATATAATTGATTTTTATGTATTGATCTTGTATCTTGCAACCTTGCCAAAGTCATTTATAAGTTCTTATAATATTTTTTGTGAACGCCTTAGGATTTTCTCTACATAAGATCATGTCATCTGAAAATGGAGATAATTTTACTTCTTCCTTTCCAATCTGATTTTTTTTTCCTTGCCTAATTGGTGTGGCTAGAACCTCCAGTGCGATGCTGAATAGAACTGGTATCCCTTTCCTTTGCTGATCTTAGGAGAACTTTTAGTCTTTTTTTTCTTTCTTCCATGTTTATTTTTGTTGTTCAGTCACTAAATCATGTCCAACTCTTTGATATAATGAGCTATTTTTTTATTATGCCATTAAGAACAAACATTTATTTACTTATTCAACTGAATTCTTTAAGTATTTGATCTGGACTTAATAATGCTCTCAACTACTTATTTATTTCCTGGCTTTTGGCACATTTTAGACACCTCCCTTATAGCAGAAAATGAAGAATAACTGAAGAACCTCTTGATAAAAGTGAAAGAGGAGAGTGAAAAAGTTGGCTTAAAACTCAACGTTCGGAAAACCAGGATCATGGGCATCTGGTCCCATCACTTCAAGGCAAATAGATGGGGAAACAATGGAAACAGTGAGAGACTATTTTTCTTTGGCTCCAAAATCACTGCAGATGGTGACTGCAACCATGAAATTAAGACACTTGCTCCTTGAAAGAAAAGCTATAACTAACCTAGACAGCATATTGAGAAGCAGAGACATTACTTTGCCACAAAGGTCCATCTAGTCAAAGCTATGGTTTTTCCAGTAGTCATGTGTGGATGTGAGAGTTGGACCATAAAGAAAGCTGAGCACTGAATAATTGATGATTTTGAACTGTGGTGCTGGAGAAGACTCTTGAGAGTCCCTTGGACTTCAAGGAGATCCAACCAGTCCATCCTAAAGGAGATCAGTCCTGAATATTCATTGGAAGGACTGATGCTGAAGCTGAAGCTCCAACACTTTGGCCACCTGATGCAAAGAACTGACTCATTGGAAAAGATCCTGATGCTAGAAAAGATTGAAGGTGGGAGGAGAGGAGAATGACAGAGGATGAGATGGTTGGATGGCATAACCGACTTAATGGACATGAGTTTGAGTAAACTCTGGGAGTTGGTGATGGACGGGAAAGCCTGGTGTGCTGCAGTCCATGGGGTCACAAAGAGTCGGACACAACTCAGCGACTGAACTGAACTGATGCATACAACTGGGGCTTCCCAGGTGGCGCTAGTACAAAGAACTTGCCTGCCAGTGCGGGAGACTAAGAGACTCCCATTTGATCCCTGGGTAGGGAGGATCCCCTGGAGGAGGAAATGGCAACCTGCTCCAGTATTCTTGCCTGGAAAATTCCATGGACAGAGGAGCCTGGATGGCTACAGTCCATGGAATCATAAAAGAGTCAGGCAGGACTTAGTGACTAAACAACTACAGCAGTATCATGAGAGGATGTTGGATTTTATCAGATGCCTTCACTGGGTAGATTGAGATGATTAAGTGGTATTTGTTCTGAAGTCTACCAGTTGGTGTATTAGAATGATTGATTTTTGTGTGTTGAACCAACCATGCCTTTTGGGGCTAGGCCTCACTTTTTACATTTTTTTGAGGATTTTTGCACTGATATTCATAAGGGATATTTATCAGTATGTAGTTTCTTGTGGTATCTTTGCCTGCTTTTGATAACAGGTAAAACTGGCCTTCTTGAATAAGTTGAGAAGTGCTCCCTCCTTGTCTGTGTTTTAGAAGGTTTTGAAGGATTTGTATTGACTCTTTTTTGTAGAATCCACCAGTGAAGCCATTTGGGCCTTTTCTTTTCTTTGTGAGAAGAGTTTTGATTACCAATTCAGTCTCTTCATTAGTTATACATCTATTCAGCTATTTTGTTTCTTTCTGAGTTACTTTCTGTAGTTTGTCTAAGAATTTGTCCATTTCACCTGGGTTTTCTTATTTATTGGTATACAGTTCATGGTTTTCCATCATAATCCCTTTTATTTTCTGTAATTTTGGTAGTTGTTGTTCAGTCACCAAGTCATGTTCAACTCTTCATGACCCCGTGGACTGCAGCACACCAGGCTTCCCTGTCCCTCATCATCTCCTGGAGTATGCCCAAGTTCATGTCCATTGAGTCAGTGATGCCATCCAACCATCTCATCCTCTGTTACCCTCTTCTCCTCCTGCCTTCAATCTTTTCCAGCATCAGGATCTTTTCCGAGTCAGCTGTTCACATCAGGTGGCCAAAGAATTGGAGCTTCAGCTTCAGC